TGGCAATTACACGCTAGCTCGCTGAAAACCTCGAACACGAAAGTGAAACGTGACAGTACGTAGTCCGACGAGACACCGAATCTGGAATTACCAGTCCATCAATCCTCTGAGCTTTAATTGACCCGTGATTTATGTTTCTCGGAATCATTTCTCCCTGTACTTGCTTATTTAAATGATCGAATAACACGACTCTAACTTATCACCTCTATTCATCTTTCCCTCACCCGATCCTACTCCGATCCTACTTTCAAACGCTGAACGCGCGTACGCATTTCCACCTTTTCCATCGGACAACACCCACTCGGATTCCTTCGACGAACCAACATCGCCTAAAAATAGTCCAACGACTCACCTCGTTTAACCGCGACCCAGCACGAGCGGTGCGTCCGAGAAATCTCTCGAACCTCAAGGACCACCCTTCTTCGCCGCGAGACCGAGCCGGAATTAGGGCTCCTTTGCGCTTCGATCCCAATCACCCCGTCGGTTTCACCAACCACCGGCAATCGGTTCTTCCTACATCGAGCCACTTTCATCCCGCGTGTCTGCCACGGTGTGTAACTATGCGCGCAATAACGGGTCGTCGGGTCGTCGGGTCGTGGAAGGAGACGGACACAGTGATCGGGTCGTGGAACGAACAGCGAGGAATAATGGAAAGAGGGCGGGGTTGAAAATACGAAGGTAGTGTTGACGGCTCCCCGGGATGCCCCGTCAGCATCAGCGTTCCTTTCTAATCGTATCGGGTTTACTGCCGTCGCGTGACGTACTCATCTGTACCATCGGTTTACCAGCCTTCAACCCTCTGTACCCACCGTCGCCACCCATCACAATTCCCATTATCCACTCGCTGTGACAGAGCTCTCCTGGGACCAGCTACTGGCCACGCTATTTCATCGGGGATCGGGGAAGATTTTTCTTCCCAACGTACCTGACCACCCTTCCCGCTTTGACGGAGACACGTCAAAATAGAGGTCCCTCGGTTGCCATCGTCTTTTCCACTGGTCCAAGCAATGACCCTGGCTTTCACGACTTTCGGATTATTTAATCGGGATAATTCCGAGTCGATGGATGTTTTTGATTGCAGGAGGAAGAGAGGGATGGAGGAGTATCTCGGTGCTAGATAAGTGGACCCTTAAGCATAGCAGAAATTCTGTTAACTCGTTGAACGAAGCTCAACCGATCTTCGTGAAAGATTGGCCCGATGATTTCTACAAACATCGACCATCGTTTGATCGAAAAATTCTGAATCTTTGGGTGCTCGTGTGTAGTCTAGCCGAAGAACGAATCCTGCAAATTACCCACTGTCTCATCGACGAAAGAGCAAACGTATGGAAAAGCCTAGGAGCGTATGCATGTAACGACAATCATACCTGTATATTGAAAATTTGCTCCCTTCGCGAACAGGAGGACGAAATTCACAGGTGGAGCAACCTAAAAACTATAATTCAATTTCACCGTCACGCGTTTCACAGGAATTAAGCGAGTCTTAAATTCGAGTAATTAAGGGGCAAGTGGATTTTCGCGGTTTGTTAAAGTTATACAAGTGGAAAGCCTGGCCGGGTCTTTGGAACTAAACTAGCTGCAAAATGAAACAGGTTTTATCCGCTTGTCAGAGCATGAATTATTGACTTGATAATAGCCGCGCGGAAAGAACACAAGGGGAACGATATTACCCTATAAAATCATATCTCGACCGGCAAAAAACTCGAGCGGCTGATATTTTCGGCCACTTTACAGGCTCGTAAAGCTTCATTACAATCGTTCGTACGCACGAAACATAATCGAGATCTTCTTCCCTCGTCCCAACCCCTATTCACGCTATTCAACGACGGGGAAAAAAGAAGAACAGGAATGCTCTGCCTCTTAATTTTAATTAATCATCGCCGTTCAAGTTCCGTTTAATAGCCCCGTGGCCTGTAATTTCCGAATTTTTGAACATCGTGTTCCGTAATCCAAGGGAATGTCGAGGAATGGAGGAGCACGTTATTTCCACGCGTAAAAGATATCATTACAGCTTTTATACGGGGATCGTGCCAATTAGCGGGGAAAAAGGACGACTGGTCTGCTCCTAATAACCCTCCAATTACGTAACTACCTTTATACGCTTAACCGTCCATCACCGTAATATATTGCCGAAATTATGTTAACGTTCATAACGCGGTCGCTTTCCTTCCGGATGTGCCCGCGGAATTTCGCTTTTCGAGACGGACCGCGATGGCAATCCTGAGGATGGAGCACGATCGTATGGTGTTGCCGAATATGTCTCATATCGCGAGAAGTTTCAGACGAGTAGTCCTCGATATCAGATCCTAAGTAGCTTTAACTCGTATTCGTTGCTTCCGATATTTCGAGTGTGGAGATAAGTAAGATATGGAAATCGATTGGTTCTTCTGGATTAGAACGCGGGAACCAGTAAGGATCCCGATTGAGGAAAACTCGGGGAATTTTCGAGACGGACCGAGACTCGACCGGACGGTCGTGAGGTCGGTTCCCATCTAGGCGTGGATTTCTTTACACGCGACTCGGTGAAATCTGCGTCACTTGGAGCTGGTAGGCACGGACAGGTGTCTAGCATGCGGATCAGCGGATCACAACGCGAAACGAGTCCATCGCGACCGTGGAGCCGCTGGAGAACAGTCATCCGTCTGCGGCGCGACGAACAAATGGCGGCGACGCGTTATGCAATTTCGCTCAATCGAAGTGAAAACTGGATTTACTGGTAGTCCTTTGTTCCGTGCGCTGGTCGCGCGACCGCCATCGAGAAATCGTTGGTTCACGTACGGCCGTAAAAAATACGAGCGCGTATGCAAATTCGCGGATGAGGCAACGAAACCGCGGATATTCGATCGTCGTTGCAAAATTCACCTTCGTTACCATTCTTTTCCATTCGGTGCTACGCCGTTTCGTTATTCAGCCGCTGTTTCGCTCGGCTTTTTCGCCTCGATTTCTCTTTCGCGGCCGATGAGAGGAACGCGCGATCGAAGCTGGACGAAAGAGACAAAGAAGAGGACACTCGAACGCTATCACCGTTGGTGCGAGCACTCGAACGAAGGTGATTGATAGCCTGATAAAAATTCGACATCCTGCGCGCGAGGAATGATTTACAGTTATAACATCGGCTTTGCAGCGCACTATTTACAGCGTCGCCTCGAGTGACGTCATCGTCGTTCTACGGACGTCACATATTAATGCCAGCCGTTCTCTGAATCGTAACGTCGCGACGATGCACGGGGACGACGGTGAACGCATCCACCGGGCAATCGATTGTCCGAGGAAGACATTACTCGCGCGCTGGACGCGAGCGGACATTTTTTCCGCTCCTTTCTCATCGCGCATGGTGCTTCTGGCTTCGACGTCTCGAACCTTCGTAACGCGAACGTCCGAAATTTGGGAAAATATAACCGGGATAGAAACGTAGCGAGAAAACGATTACCGGACCGTGGTATAAATTTGCCGAGGAAGTTAAGAGCGACACTGTACGCGGATAATAAATTCAGCTTTATCGCGCGGACGTATGTTCACTACGAAGCCGGAAATACCCTGTACGCGATCGAGATTTCGTATCTCTAAAGCGGTTTGTTTCTGAATGTTATAAGGAAGTATTACACGTGAGAATATATTAACTAGAAACTATGGTGTACTTTTTTTCTCGACAGATGTAAGTCGTGTTACTTGAGCTATTTTATGGTTTATGGTTAAGTGATCGAGTAAATCGTCGCGATCTACCTCGAGAGAGCAGTTTGCTACGCATCTCTAGCCCTTTTGCTGCTTCGAACCAATAAGCGACAATGTTTGCCGGTAAACCAATGAAATTCCTTGTAAAAGCACATGAAAATGAAAATCCCCGTGGTAATTCGTCGCGAGATTAAGCTTGCGCGGGACGGTTGACTTAGTCCCCGATATTTTGAAATTTATCTAGACCGTTTGAGAAATATCGAGACTCAAGGCCTTCGCATCGTTGACGAATGTAGCTGACGTGCATCGATCGCGGTTTTCCTCGGGATCGACGAATGCGAATTTAAACGCGATAAAATATACGAATCGAATATGACGAATCGTCCATGAAATAATGCCGACTGCAAACGATAATTCGGTGTGCAACTTTCGCGAAATCGTATAGCAAAGATGTGGGTATAGCAGTTACTTATAGAAAGCTCGTAGAAACGTCGGTGTGCGCGACACACTGTACTTGATTTCACGATACCAACGACGTTGGAAAATTCCATCGTTCGAGTGTGTAATAATTTATTATGGACTTTTACCATGTTCCATGTAAAACGTTCTATGTAAAACGAAACGAATGAAACGCAACGTCTCGATGATCTTTTCTTACACGGATACCAAAGAACCCGCAGTACCGTGAAAGTAGTTGATTGTCAAAGTAGTTGACGAAACGACTGCAATTAGATCGGATGAAATCGTATGAATCGGTACCCCCGGGGTGAATCGGTTCTCTACGAGCCTATCAAAGTCCCTGGAAAACGCTCCACGAAGCCGAAATCCACCACTCGAATGATAAATTACCGCCAACATCTTCGTCAACGACGCAAAAGGGTTGAACCTATCTCGAAAGGGTCGCGCCACCTCCACGAACGCCGACCCGCGTTTCACCCCTCTCGCGATTAATACTCTCGTCACTTTCGAGGCGACAAATGGAAAACAACGTTTCCCCTTCTGTTCGGCGATACTAGCGGCGATGCGTCGATGGATCCTCGTGGTCGCAACCCTTTCGTTATCCCCGAGAAGCAATGGCAGTCGGTAGGTAAAGGACGACTACGCGACCCCGTTCGCGGTAAGGCGTTTTCCAAAGGAAGCCATGGCGTATCGCATCGAAAGGGCTAGGTAGATCGTAACGTCCGAGCAGATATCATAAAGTTAACTATTACGTTGTCTATTATGATACGATAGTAAGAAAAATAAGTATAAGAGAAACAACATGCCCTGGCTCGAGGAGAGGACCCTGACTCTGTTTGTACGGGACACAGAGGTCCGCCGGTACGAACCAGGAGTGCGTGAACGCGGGGTTGATGTTGAGCGCCCCAGCGGCCCCCTGATGGGGTCCGCCGACATCGACGCCGACACCGACACCGACCCCGACCGGGCTTTGTCGTTGAAAGCCCCCATAATCCATGGCCATCTGATACGGCAACATGTCTCTTTCTCTCTTTTCCTTTCTTTCCCTTTCCTCCCTTTCCCTTTTCCTTCTATCCCTCTTTCTCTCTCTCCCTTTTCCTTCGTTCTTCCAGTTCCCCTTCGTGAACGTAGATCACTCTCTTCGTCGACGCACTACCGCGTGTCGTCTGTCGCGTGCACCACCAAGCGAACAACGAGTTCACGTTCCCGCAACAACACCAAACAACAAGCCGGCACACCGAACGGAACAACAGTCATATTCTATCGCGTATCATGGTCCATCGCGTCTCTCGTCCTCTTCCCGCGTCATCGTCGTCCAACCACCGGAACGTCGTCGGCATCGAGGGGTTCCGCACGCGGTAAAACCGAAAGCAGACCGACGGTCGACTACGTACGGAAGAGAAAAGCGAGGTACACCAACAGCGGAGATGCGCGCGTATGTGTACGTTCGTGCGTGTATATACGCGAAGCGACGAGAGCTCACGCGCGCGCACGTGCGTGTCAACAACTCGGAGCTCGGACTCTCGCGTCGTGGACCAGCTGTTACGGGTCCTCGTCGACGGGTCGGTCCCTTCGATCGCTCGAATCACGCGCCCGATGTGCGCCGCGGACGTGGGGGTCGCAGACAGCTAAACGGCTGCTTCGTGACCGAACGACAGACTAGACCGGACTGTACCGGCTGTGTAACGCGAGCCGTGCCGCGACCCGCGTCAGGGGAAGCGAGACAGCCGCCGTTGGAGGGAAAAGGAGCGAGAAAGAGGGCGCGAGAGCGTGCGCCGAGTGGCGGGCGGTTCGGCCCCACCCACCGCGGTCCGACTCGGCGAATCGCGTGGCGCGGTCGCGGCGCGTGGCCACGCCCATCGCCGCCACCGCGACACCGACACCGCGCACTCTCGCTCGGCCTGCTTGCGTCACTGCACCCCCTTTGTTGACAGACAGACGGACGGAGCGGCCGTGCGGCGAACGCCGCACACAGTCGCGGTCGCGGTTACCTCTATCGCCGCGTAGGCTCCGCCCACCGCTACTAATGACATTTGCCGGATGGTTAAGAGGTCGGATCGTACACCTACGAACCGTAGAGAGACTACCTTGTCGCGAGCCAAGGGCGACGTTCCCCGGAAGTGGCCCGTAAGCGAGCCACGTGCGCGCCTCCCGATTCTTAACCCTTGCCGTGCCATGGGGTTTTCGTCGCTTTCGTCCAGGACAGTCTGTTGCTGCCTTGTTTTCCCATCTTCTCCTTTCCTTTTCACCCTTTTTCCGTTTCGCCGTGCAGAAAGTGCTCCGAATCGACGGGAATAATCGAATTCGCGTTATTCGGAAATGGTATACGGCGAACGGTATCGATCTTCCAGGGAATGAATGGACGCGTCTGATTCGTCGTTTTCGTTTTTTCCACTCGTCTCTTGTGACCGTGTCTTTTTCCCTTTCCCTCTTCTTTCTTTTTTATTCTCTTTTTTCTATTTTTTTTTTCTTTTTTTTACCGAAATCACGTGTTTTTTTGGAGCAAGCTAGTTTCTCTTTTTTTCCCGTCGCAGTCTTTTTAATCGCTATTACTAAAACGGTCACGTGGGAGTTGTTCGACGCTTAAATTGCATCACGGCCGGGCTTTCTTTTTGTTTTGAAAGCGTCTGCCGGTATCGATGCGTCGAATTCGTTCCGTCCAAGATCGCGTGTCCAGTTACTATCGTTTCTCGAGCAAACGACTATACTCCATCGATCCCTTCCTTCTCCGATTTCCTTCGATTTCCTCGATTCCATCGATTCGAGCTAGATCGATCAGCCTGGTACGTGGAAGAACGCGCGCACCGCGGTTTGGGGATATTTTGCCGCCTATAAATAGCGTTTACGACATTCCTACGGATCGCGTTAAACTTCTAACACCATGCACGCTCGTTCTACTGAATAGAAATCGCAAGGTTGCGCGAATAGAAAATAGGAAGCGTGATCGAACGCCAGAAATAACGACGCTCGTTATTTCCGTTTACTCGAGTGCAACGACGAAACAACGGGGGACAACAGACACCAGAATCGCCCCACACTCATGGTTATTCATAAACCACGACTTTTTCTGTTACTCAATCGCCGCTCCGATCGTCCATTTATCTCACGCAGCGTCTTTATGCAATTACGCCGGAGAATGCGCGACACGTAATAAAATAGCCGAGAAATCGATACGAAACGCGACACGGACAGCGCGCAAAATCGCCTCGTCAGACTCTGGTGAAAATAACCAGCGTCGCGTTATTTCGCGTTTCTGTCCGAAAGGTGGGAGATTCGTTACACGTGTAATTGACTGCGGCACCCACACTCCTCGCGGACGCCATCTTTCTTTCTGATTAGCTGCGTAGCACGCTCTGCACGATACGCTATCCCGCCGCGACGTAGTGGTACGTTTACATTTTAAGAATGTAATATAAGAATGTCCCGAAGAACCCTGGATTTCACCATCTTCTCAGTCACTTTCGTCCAAGCTTTCTCGGTTATTTTGCTTCCAATTGTTCATCCGTTGTTTGCTTCCCGTAATGGGGTAAGGAAAGGGAGAATAACGTACCGATGGATTACTCGTAATTCGTGTTTTTCGTAAAACTATCGTCAAACGTGCAACATCTGCTACAGTTATCGCATATCACGGCGCGAATCGAGCTCCGAACCCAACAAGGCTGTTACACGTAGTCGTACAAGTAATATATTTTATTAAACACAGCCGATTCAAGTATAACGATATCCCGATGTATTCGCTGCTAATTATTCCAAGTTGAATATTCCCAAGAATCCTAATTAATTTCCAAGTCTTCGATCTTTATAATTTCGAGTGTCTAAACTACCCCATGACTGACTTCCCGTCATTCTTGATTAGAGTAAACGTCTTCTGGGAACGGTGTTCATCTTGCATAGATGACGGGAAACTCTTCTTGGATATCGTTCTCTTTATCCTAAATTCTAAAAGCAGACCCCTAGTAACGAAAATATCCAATTGTCCAAAAGAAGAACACGATAACTCCAAAGGAACAGAGCAACGCGAGACACCAAAAATAACTAGTTAAATCCCCGAAGGAATTCCTGATATATCGATCAAGACAGCACACCTATGCAAGTGGAAAAACTTGACTGCCAGAAAATCCAAACTTCCATTCACGATTCTTCTCGATCTCTCTGCCCCCTTCGTGGTCCCCGAAACACGATCCCACGTCAAACCTAACCCAGACCCAGACCCAGACCCAAACACAGACCCAAAGTCAGACCCTAAGGGACGAAACGGTCGGCAGCTCCGTGCTTTCCGACGAAATGGAATTGAATCGTCGGAAAGAAGCGAAGCGAATGGAATCGAAGGAGCGTCCCGTCGTTAAGGGGTTCGCCTGGCCGGGAATTAATTCATCGAACATCCAATCAAGCTTTTCCAGGGAAGGCGAAGGCGACGGGGAAGCGGCGATCGGGCCGCGGTGTGTGCACGAGAAAGAATCGTGGCGGCGAAGAGAGTCGTGGCTGGGTGCAACGAGCGACCGGTACTTAGCATGCATCCCCCGATACGAAGGATTCCTTATTGTATCGTTGCACGTGAGCGTAATGCACAAATATGAACTTAGCTGCGGGCTCGTTCCTCGTCGAGTCTCTCTCCTCCGTTCGGTGATAACTCCCGTCCTCATAATCATACATATGGATGTGCCGTGTAGGTACGTTGGCTGCTCGTCTCTCGCTGACCAACGCCGTGTCTGTTTACGCGATGAACAATACGAACGAGGCATTGTTCGTAGCGGGCGATCGGTAACGAGGCAAAACGGAACGATTTCTAAGCGTCGTAGCCTTGCTCGTTAATCGGTATGCGAGAAACACGGGCGTGCAGGGGCTGTTTCGTCGAAGTTCGGGAAGAACGGCTTCCAGGGAACGCTTTCTAAATTCGCCATCGTCTACGTGGCTGTCTACGGGGTCGATTAGTCGCCGCCATATTGCGCGATCCGATCCACCGATCGCGTACCGAGCACGTACCCTTTTTCTCCAACGCTGTTCCTCCATTTCGAGTATCATCCGTTTAATACCATTTATTTTCCCCCCCTTTTTCTCCTCGTTGTGGCCGGACTTATTCGTCGCAGTGATTTATACGATGATTATTCAATCGGTTTTTTGGAGGAAGTTTTTGCAAGGTTAATACGTTCGCTGAATATGTATACGCGTCTGGAGCCCGACATGCTGTTTTGCGATATGCGCGCGATATCGGGTCGCGTATAAATCGAAAATAGATCGCGTACGAAAGTTACTTATTAAGGTAAAGACTGATAAATAAATGCGGTAAAAGACATCGCGACCACGGTATTTCTAAAATCACCCTTCCGTTTGCTTTTTGCGCGGCGACTTTTTCATTACAGGATAATAGTAATTCGAAGACCTTCCGCCATAAAGTCGACGATATTTCTAAAACGGTAAATAAGAAATCGTATGCAAATTAAGACGTAGAATCCTTTTACCTCGATATTCCACGCATCGGTGGGTAATTGTAAATTTCACATATTAATTAACATCCGTCTTTAGAATCTGCTTTAGAATCTGTTTAAATGGCGACTGAGAGGCTCCACTCGAGTGTAAAAATTAATAATCGTTACCTCGCATTATCTCCATTCTATACATCGATATCCACGTAAGAAAATCTTCCCACCCAAGTGAAAGGATTGTACCCAACCCATCAGGCAGAGTCAATTACCGAGGAAGATCCCTGAAAAACCAATCACCCCCGGAAACACGGGAACACAGAGACGATGGAAGAACGATGCCGTCGCCAACCCCGTACCCACCCCTATACCATTCGATCCGACCCACTCTATCGTTCGATCGGTCGCTTCTTGAATCTCGGATAATATCACTTTTATGCGCGGCGCGATCTCTATCTAACCCTTCCGAGGACCATGCATCAGCGCGGACATAAACGTCGGCCGGGGGGTAAAGAAGGGCCCATAAAATGGCGCCCTCGCGGACGCGATAAGAGTTATCTCCGTTCTCTAATTGAAAGTTAATTGGTCCGGCGGTTTA